TTCAAAAGATTGGGAGGAGAAGTTTTCGGATGCGACTCAGGTAGCCTTGGCTAGACCGACACTGGATCATATTCCCTTGGTGTTGGATTATGGTGGGTTAAGGTCGAGAATTACTCCTTTTCGTTTCGAAAACATATGGCTTAGGACGGACCATTTTCAGGGGTGTGTGAGGTCCTGGTGGGAAAGAAGTATGGTGTCAGGGAACCCGAGTTTTATTCTAGCTCGAAAGCTTGGGGTGTTGAAGGAGGAGATGAAAAGATGGAGTAAGGAGGTTTTCGGGAATCTCGAATGGAGTAAGAGTAAGGCTTTGGCGGAGATTGTAGAGATTAATTGCCAGGAAGGCATGAGTGGCATTGATGATAAGCAGAGAAGTAAGAGAACGGCATGCAAGGCTGGATTGCTGTGTCAGATGAGATATCGTGGAGACAGAAATCCCGAGCATTATGGCTTAAGGAGGGGGACAGGAACACTAAGTTCTTCCATCGGTTGGCTAATGCACGTAGGAGGGGCAATCACACAGGGAGACTTACTGTTGATGGGGTGGTCATGAGTAGGGAAGACGATGTTTGTAAGGGGATTACCAAATTTTACCAGAGACTGTTTACGGAGCCGATTTCTATGAGACCCCGGCTGCATCGTCTTAATTTTGATAGGATCTCTGAGGCAAATAGGGAGGGTCTGGAGATTCCGTTCTCTGAGGAGGAAATGTGGAAGGCGTCAAGACATTGTAACGGGGACAAAGCTCCGGGACTAGAAGCATTATGGCTTAAGGAGGGGGAGAGGGACAGGAATATTAAGTTCTTACATTGGTTGGCTAATGCACACAGGAGGGGCAATCACATAGGGAGACTTACTGTTGATGGGGTGGTCATGAGTAGGGAGGACGATGTTTATAGGGGGATTGCCAGATTCTACCAGAGACTGTATACGGAGCCAGTTTCTACGAGACCCCGGCTGGATCGTCTTAATTTTGATAGGATCTCTGAGGCAAATAAGGAGGGCCTGGAGATTCTGTTCTCTGAGGAGGAAGTGCTGAAGGCGTTGAGATATTGTAATGGGAACAAAGCTCCGAACCCGGATGGTTTTACTATTAGGTTTCTCTTGGAGAGCTGGGTTATGGTCAGGGGGGATGTGATGGGTACTTTTCATGCTTTTCATACTCGAGCGCTTTGAGAAATCCCTGAATGCATCGTTTATTGCCCTCATTCCGAAGAAGGGTGGACCTGCAGATGTAAAGAATTTTAGACCTATTAGTTTGTTGGGATGCATTTATAAATTAATAGCAAAAGTTCTTTCCTTAAGGTTGAGGGTGGTATTGAATGAGGTTATTTCGGAATCTCATAACGCTTTTATAGGTGGGCTCCAGATTTTGGATTCTGCCCTTATTGCCAGGGAAAGTATGGATGACAGGTTGAGGAGTGGGTTCCAGGGTGTTGTGTAAGTTGGATGTGGAGAAAGCTTATGATCATGTTAATCGGAGCTTCTTGCTATGTATGATGGTAAGGATGGGTTTCGGGAAGAAATGGAGGAAATGGATTGAGTTGGTTTTGGTGAATGGGGCTCCGATTGGTTTTTTTGGTAGTTCTCGAGGTTTGCATCAGGGAGACCCATTGTCCCCACTTTTATTCATCATTGTTATGGAGGGGCTTAGTAGATTGATGGGGAAGGCTGTGGAGGTGGGTTTTATCAGGGGGTTTTAGGGTAGGAAGGGATGATATGCATCAGTTGGAGATTTCCCATCGTTTATTTGTGGATGATACCTTGGTTTTTTGCGAGGATGAGGTGTCTCAGATGAGATATTTGAGATCGGTGTTGATCTGTTTTCAAGAAGTTTCGGGCTTGAAAGTGAATATGGGGAAGAGTCCTTTGATTCCATTGGGGGAGGTTCAGGATATTGAGGAGTTAGCTTCTATCCTTGGTTGTGGAGTCAATTCTTTTCCGATTTCTTACTTGGGTTTACCTCTGGGCGTTTCTTTGAGGATTGTAGGTGCTTGGGATCCGGTGGTGGAGAGGGTAGAGAGGAGGCTTGCAGGGTGGAAGAAGCAATATTTATCAAAAGATGGGAGGGTTACCTTGTTGAAAAGCACTTTGTCGAGCATTCATACTTATTTTTTATCCCCTTTCCAGATTCCGTCCTCGGTTGCTGCTTCCATTGAAAAACTTCAGAAGAACTTCTTGTGGGGAGGTTTGAGGGATGCGTTTAAGTATCATCTGGTTCGTTGGGAGCAGGTGTGTAAGCCTGTTAAGCTCGGAGGTATTAGGATTAGGAGACTGTTGCCTTTTAACAGGGCCCTTTTAGGTAAGTGGTTGTGGAGTTTGTTATTTAGCGGGATAGGTTGTAGAGGAGGGTTATCTTGTGTTGCTTTGGGGAGAGAGGGGGTGTTCGGCTGTGGTGTCTATTCCTGGAGGTGTTGGTGTTTGGAAAGCCATTTGGAAGGGATGGAATGAGTTTTCTAAGCATATCAGATTCAAAGTTCACGATGGTATGGAGATTCTGTTTTGGAAGGATTTGTGGTGTGGTGATCGCATTTTAGCATGTTCTTTCCCCGAACTTTTTAGGATTGCGGCTAATAGGCAGGTCTCAGTTGCTAACTGTTATCGCCTTGATAGCGGGAGACTGGTTAAGGACGTGCTTTTTCAGCGATCTTTTCAGGATTGGGAGATGGATAATGTCTTTAGTTTCTTAGGCTATGTTTGGTACGATGGTAAAGAAAATAAAGGATAACATTAGTTATGAGAGAAAGGGAAGGGAAGGATAATTTTAACCCCCTATGGTATTTGGTTAATTAATGAAAGAAAGGAAAGGATAATAATCATGTTTGGGAAAAGAAAGGAAAGGAAAATATTTTAATAAATTTACTATTATACCCTTTCATATTTTAAAATATAAATTTATAGATTTATGTTAAATCATTAGGGCAAATCTATAGGCCCATGGATGATGGGCCACCAGAAAACAAAAAAGAATATTTTTAGGGCAAATCATTTAAGCCTCCGCCTCCATCTCTATTCTCGTTCTCAACTCTGAACTTGCCCTCTCTCTCTCTCTCTCTCTGTGCAATTGCAAACTACAAGAATCAAAAGTTCAAAACCCATATATTTCAGTTTATCTATCTGTCTGCAAGAATCAAAAGTTCAAAACCCATATCAGCATATCATTCCAGATTGTTCAAAAAATCAAAACCTATATCTTTCAGTTTCCATCGCTGTTATTCTAGTTCGGGTTCGCCGTTCGCAAGCTTCAGCCGCTGGCCCGCTGTCTCTCGCTCTTTCTGTAACTGCTAACTTGTATGTATGGGTCTGTAATTCTTGTTTTGCAAACTTGTAATCTTGATTTTGTGTAAAAAAAAGTGTAATCTTCAGGATAAATTTGGCATCACAAAAAATACAGCAATATCTCCTTCCCTTTCCTCCCATTTTTGGGAGAATAAGGAAGTTACTATTTAAGCCTTATGCTAACGTTCCAAAACCATCCCTTCCCTTTACTTTCCTTTCCTTTCCTTCCAACCATTTATGTCAAACACAAGTTTTGAATCAGCCTCCATCACCTTTCCTTTCCTTTCCTCCCTTTTCCATTGCACCAAATTGACCCTTAAAGTTGTTGTACAGCCAAGTGATTCACAGTGAAGGTAGGGATTCTCTTGTTTAGATTCCTTCTTCTAGGGGGATGTTAGTGTGAGGTCTTTCTTTGGATGTCTTTTGGACCCAGCTGAGGTGGTATTTCCTTGGAAGGCAGTGTGGCGAACCAAGGCGCCGTTGAAAGTGGCTTTCTTTGCTTGGACAGTCGTGTGGGGTAAAATATTGATGGTGGATAAATTGAGAAGGAGAAAGCATATCACGATTAATTGGGGTTGCATGTGTAAGTGTAATGGCGAATCGGTTAACTATCTTCTTTTGCATTGTCCAGTAGCGATCGAATGTTAGAATCTCTGTTAGGATTATTTGGTATTCACTGGGTGCCTAGATCTATGAGAGGTCTAATTGACAACTGGAGAGGGGGATGGGTGGGAGCACAAGCTCGAGGGTTTTGGAGGATGGAGCCCTGTGTCTTTAGTGGTGTCTGTGGAGGGAGCGGAATAGAAGATCATTTGAATAAGATGAATCTTAGGTTATTGTTGATGATGGATTCTGCGCAACCCGGATTTGATCTGACTTCCTGAATAAAGAGAAGAAAAAATGATCCTACAAACACCGGTGTGTTACCGGTGGAGTAGACTCCGACGAACAAGTCAGTGTGAGAAGTAATCTCTCTGGAGAAATCAAGAAATTGAATTAGGATTTATTGCATACCTCTAAACGTCGATTAGCCCCCTCTATTTATAGGGCTTAGGTCAGAATGTTACGTAGAATTCCCGTTGTCTTAATCCTTATCGTAATCTGTAGGCCTAATCCTTATCGTATTTTGTAATCTTTATTCGTAATCTGTAATCCTTTTCTTAGCCTGTAATCCTTATCTTAGTTTGTAATCCTTATCTTAGTCTGTAGAGCCTATCTCAATCTTATGAGATAGCGCGTTACTTTAACAATCTTCCCCTATTCACGGGTATTTAAATTATACATCCATCAGTTATTGTTCTCAAATCTTCTATTATTAACTCTTTATTTTTTTGGGGTTCGGGTAAACTGTGTTCCTCTGTTGAGGAGACTATTGAGTTTTTAGCTTCCTTGGGGCCTTAGGGTACCCAGGTTTTTGTGGTCTTGTAGGGATGCGTTCCCCTTATGAACGCTTTTAATAAATTGCTTATTTATAAAAATAATAATAATACTTCTAAAGAATGCCAATAAGCTAACTGGGTAGTGACATGTGGGTCATTGTGTTGATTTCATGCAAGGGGGAACACATGACACAAAATAGTTGAGTAGGAACACGTGTGATAGTGTCAAAACATTAAAATGATGAACAAATGCCAAACTATCATGCAAAAAAGTAGTGTATAAGGCTTAAATTATATACTTGTATCATCAAGGACCAAAATAGAAGGAAAAACAAAGAGTAGTGTAACTCAAGTTTCAAAACAACACAAACCTCTTTTTGATCCTATGCAGTAGTCGAGACGCCCTGTTATGAAAACAATTTAAGGACATAAGACACATTCTACCAAATATTATATTGTTCAAAATCAATGCTTAGATATGTCAATATAGAAATTAATTGTGTACCTAATAACTGAAAGTCTTAATAATATAGGAAAAAAATTTGCATGCAAATCCAAAATGCATAAACATCTCATCAGAATACCAAATGTCCCAAGCCTGTACTTGTAGATGTACTGAAATATTTGAACATCAAGGCATTAAATGGACCCAAAGGTGGTTCACTAAGAATTTTTCAACGAAAGTAATAACATAAATAAAATTTATGCACCAGTCATAAGTGTGCTTTTTCTTAAACGTATTTTAACTAAAACAAACAATATTAAAAACAAAAATAGATCGGTTGTTAAACAAAATTTCTGAACAATGAAATCACGATTGTACTCGTTCTTCATCATCATCATCCTTGCAGGCAAACTTCAAAAAGTACCCATGCCTTTAAATAGAAGAGGTCGGTAAGACGACGAACCATAGGATGTCAAATCTTTTTTCTAATCAGTTGAAGGGCTTTGAGTTTCATCGCATATACCTTCATCAGATTTTTCATCCAATTTTCCAAGATTAGCAGAGTTAAGACAGTCAAAGCCAAGAGGGACCTTGATGGTCTTGGAGGGGTTCGATTCCACCACTTTGTGTCTCAGTAACACCAAAATTTATGAACCAATTTGGTTGAGTTTGGGAGTTTCTGCGTTTGGCGAGGAGTGGTATGGCACAGTTGAGTAAGGGGAGGAATTGGAGGGTGGATCTATTATGGTCTGGTGAGGGATCGGAGGGTGGATCGATGGTCTTGGGTGATGGGATTGGAGGGTTTCTTGTGTCTGGGCCAACAATTTGGTGAAGGGATGGAAGTAATCACTATAATTTAGCACATGTTTATTGATTTTGTATTTAATTTTTAATAATTTTTTACTTACATAAGAGGTAATTAAAATATAAATTATTAAAAATGAGGGTGAGGGTATTTTTGTACTTTTTATAATGAACTTTGACGGTGTTAAGAAATCCAACTCTGATAGGGAGTGTCCGGGTAATTTTTAAAAAAGTTTCATCAACGGGCAATAAGACCAAACCTCAGGGGAGGTCAGGGTAATTCACCCTTAATAAAATTAAGAACTTCATTTAACAAGATTATGATTATGCTCCATATAATAAAAAGAATAGTGGTAGGGGCAGTCGCCTATGCGACTGTCCATTCACACTCGCTCTTCTCATTAGTCACTTTTTAATTTATTAATTAGTTGTTTCCTATTTTTATTGAACATTAAAAACACAACCATTTAGAGGTAAAACTACCCTTTTAAGCATTGCCTTTCTTATCTAGCATCTCTCAATCCACATACATTTGTGTAAGTGTACATATATAACAACTAACATAATGGATTTTTTCCATTATTTTTCACGCAAATCATATGCATTGTGAATGTATTCTTTATATATATATTTTTCATAATGCGAGTTTTTATAATTATAAATTTTAATTGAAGTAAAATTATGAAATTGAGTTTTAGTTGAAGTAAAATTGTGAAGATCTAAGATAATCAGCGTTTAGAGATAAGTAATGTTTGATAAGATTAATTTATACACACACACACATACATACACACACGCATAAAGAAAACAAAGAATTGGGTATTTTTGTCCTAAAATTACTATGTTTTTAATGCTGCATGAGAATAGGAATTAATTAATTAATAACTTTAGGAGTAGCCAATGAGGAGACGAATGCAAATTGATAGTCGCATAAGCGATTGCTCCTAGCACTCCTCTATAAAAAATTGTCACCAGACCGATCGTCTAGTGGACTCTTTGGCATAGAAGTTGGTTTGTGTGGTCAACCTCTAGGTCTAGAGTTCAAGGATTGGTGTTCAAAGAACTGAGCGAAAAAATAAAATATATATATATATATTTGCCACCAGACGTGGTTAAGGGATGGAACAGGATTATATAATGAGTAGGCCGTCACAACAGTTAATTTTTTTCAACAGTAAAAAACATTATCAAGACCAAAAGCAACTTTCAACTCTGAAATTCAATAGACCACCTCTTTATATGAGTAATGGCCGATAATTTAAATCTCAAGACGCTATCAGTTGTATCATTGTAATTATTTTTACTTTTCACAAAATTTACAACCACAAATGCAAATTGAATTTTTTATTTTAATATGCATTTTCCCAAAAATCACACACTAATGACTTAAACGTCGGTAATTAGTATACCCACAAAGTAGCATATGTAAACTTGCTAAACTAAGGGAAAGGAGAACTTGAGATTGATTTTAGCTAAGGTAAAAAATTAAAAGTTTCAAGAAAAGATGATGAAATTAAAGAAATATGAAAATTTTCCTTGATAAATTATTGAATGAAAGTCATCTCAAAAGTCTAGGTTTAAAAGAATATACTACCTCAGTCCCATTATAGATGTCCACTTTCAAAATTCACACATTTTAAGACACTAGCTTTTATTACATTGGCAGAGGATATATATCCAAATTTATCCCTTTTAAATGTTATTCTTTGATGGGGTCCATCATTTTGAGACATTAATGTGTTTTATCTTTTAGGGGTAAATTAAGAATGTTATAAAAAAATTAGTGCATTGGTTTTTGAAATGGGGCAACTATTATGGGACAGCCAAAAATAGAAAGATGGCCTACTAATATGGGACAGAGGGCGTATTAATCTCAGGGATAACATACTTTTGAAGGGTTAAGGAGGGCAAGATTAAAAGGGTAGAGGAGATTATGAAAGGCTTTAGGACTAGATGGCATCCCTATTAAGGTTTGGAAGTATTCAGGGGATGATGGCATGTCATAGACTCTTAGCTAACAAAGAAGTTTAAGAACATAATAACAAATAGAGAGCCTGAGAAGTAACACAACAATACTTTAATATTAGGTAGTAGCATATTTTATCGGCAGGATGTAACTTTTATGACGGAATGACGAGACTTGTGAACCAAGGAGGGAAGGTAACCAGATAGTATCTGGAAGCAGCAAGACCCCGGCAACTTCCGACAGTCTGACCATGAAATTGACAGCATTGAGAGGAACAAGCTTCAGAGCGGATGTAAAGGAGTGACGAAGCGAAAGGAGTTTCTCCAAAGCATCCTAATTGGGAACTTTGAAAGGGTGGTGGGGAGCCCGGAAATCATTGCAAAATGAGTTGAGGGCTTGGAAGGTGGCTGGAGGAGTGGGGGTTCCACCACTGTTTTGACTCTTTGCAGTTATTCCGATGGTGGTCACGACGCCAGGCTGGTACAGTTTCGTCAGAGGGGAAGGAGAGAATGGAGGGATGCCATTCTGGAATTGGATGTGTGGGCTTTCAAAGTGAGATGTTCTGGAACCTGGAGGACGAGAAAAGAAAGGAGGATTGGTCTCGATGAGAAGAAGTTGGTGATATAAGAGGGATGGTGGTGTGATAACGGAGAGCATGTGAGTTGAAGAAGAGGGGCCTATTCAACCGGATAGCTTTGACAAGGGTGAGGTCACGAGAGTTGTTACCAACCAAGCTTCACTCACCGGTAGAGAATAGAAGCTTCTTATTCTGGAGAATGAAAAATCAAGGAAAGGTGGGGGTGGGGGGCACATGGAGAGGGGAAGAAAAAATGTGTTGCAGAGGAAGGGGTGGGTGGGTGGGTGGGAGGAGACAAAGTATCTCACACAAGTCCAAGGCTCTTGGACGGGAGAAAAAGGAAAGGGGAACAAGTGGCAAGATACTCTCGAACGGTTTAGTGGGCAGGGGTATAGCTATGTTATAATGTTCCTACATGTCAAGAGGGGTTGAAGGGCATAAGAGGAGGGTCACATGCCAGAGATAAGGAGACTCCAAAAAGGATGTTGGCTAAAAACCAAGTAAAGTAGATGGACCTCGCTTCTATATGGTGGGAATGATTGGCCAATTGATTATAAGAGGTGAAGAAAATAGGCAGGCCAATATTGGGACTATATCTCAAAAAATAGGGGCCACTTTGCAAGTTCAAACAACAAAGGAGAGAGAGGCTCTCTGATAGAGGCCCAAATCCAAAGATTCAGGTAGTGGGAAGAGCGAATAAGGTCGTGGTTCATGAGCTAGCTAAAATGGATCAAGCCCAACGTGCAACAAACAGATCTAGATGATGGATGTGGGCCAAAAAAAGTATTGACCTGCTGCACTCCCCACTAAACCCAAACCAACTGGTAGCTAAACAAGTTTCAAACCCAATTCTCTTTCTTCACTCTGTGACCGAAAGTGCCGATAGAGACATGAGGCTGCAACTTAGAAATTGCCAAAAAAGGGCAGTAGAACAGTGCAATCACACATCGGAGAGAGGTGTGCCAAAAGCCATGGTAGGCGAAGTACAAAATACTGATCTGAGACCAAACGGATAAGAAAGAAGAGTGACCCAACGCGTCAACCAAGGGATTCATTTGCAGCTTGGAAGGAAATCAATTGAGGCCTTGCTAGTGGAATTAAAGAGCCACACTGTGTTGGGAAATTCAAATAACCCAATCAATGAAGTCAGTTGTTCGGGGTCTAAGGATTTTATAAAGATGATGAAGTTGGCAAAGTCGAGGATGAGATTCTCAATCCATACTTTGCATAGAAAAGTTGCGATATGGATCGGAATGCAAGTCTCTTTCTGCGATAGTGTCATAAATGAAGGAAAGTGATTTGGTGGGTCTGCACACTCCATTGGCAATTATGAGGCTGTTCAGAGAGGAAACTCAAATACCAAGACCGATTATAGAATATTAAACTGAAGATTGGTTAAGGAAAATATTGGAGAGATGAGTCTAGCTTTGGGGCATACCTACGGAAGGAAGAGAAAGCCGATGAATTGTTCCATTCTATTGAGATCGAGTGGAAAGTGGTAAGAACTTAAAAGAGAGAAATATATATATATATATATATATATATATATATATATATTGATAAGACTTAAAAGTGAGAAAAAATAAATATAAAAATAAAAATCCAACTTAAGGAGGGGAGAAATTATTGGTGAAGACATTCCTTCGTAAGTGAGATGCCCAATTGGCATGCTTGCAAGAATCTAAACTGGTGTGCTCTTCGAACGGGATAGTTGTTGGGAAATGGGGATTTTCAAAAAAGGGAACCATGAATTTAAACCTAGACCTTGTTCATGTGTACAATTTTCAATTAAATGAAAATAGATGATGCTCTTACTTAGATACAAATAGAGACATGGATTCTTGCCAAGAGATTTGAGAAGATCTCTACACAACTCTTCTACTATGGTAGTTCTTTAATCCTTGCCTCTTCCTTTGATCCAAGCTTGTTCGTGGAATCCCCTTGCCTTCAAGATTCGGCCCTATGACCTCCTTTATGGAATTCCCACAAAGCCATTATTTGAGCGAACATGAGATGCACAAATGAACCCTAGACAATAGTTAGTTACGAAGAGTTGATTATGAGTTATTAAATGGTAAAATGAACAAAAAAATCGAAATTGGAAGAACTGTTCCTAAAGGACCCAACGAATTTCTAATTCGAATTAGAGGACCTTTTTTAATTGATTCTTTATTTGTGATATTTGATATATGTTGGGCTACTACACTTTCTCTATAATTTATTCCATTCCACCGTATGATATCTCTACAACACCTCCTTTATATATTGGCTTCTTGAGGTGTAAATAACACTTCCTACAACGAATTAAAGGGGGTTATATCAATCAACCTTTAGCACTTGGATTGCCCCTATCATCAACTACATATCATTTGTCTTTTCCTCGTCTCAATCCCGATGAGCTTGAATCCATAGATTGGGTTAGGGGTGGGGATTGTTTGGGCTTACTTTCTTCGCGGGTCCAATAGACTAATAATTGACTTGTTCAATCACTTTTGACCCTATTCAATTAACCCATTAATTAATACCACTATATAGAATTAATTGTTTTAAAAGTGATTTCCACGAAATCAATTTGCATAATAATCACTCTATACTTAAGCTATTTGATAATTATAGCCATCAAGCTGACCGCTTAATTAATCCATTTATTACGACCATGTACCATAACACAATTTTCGCAATTTAGATATCCCAGATATGAACGCCCCCATAAACATATAATTACTTGTGTATTCAAGTGGACACCTCGATTCAAATACCGAACAAACCAATACACTTCATTCACCAATTATGTATAAAGCATCTCATAAACCAACATTGGACAAACATGTCTTACACAATCCATTAAAGCTGCGATGGTAGGGCATACAAAACGATCTCTCTTTGGAAGGTAAGTTTGTTAAGTAGGTGGCATAGGAGGTCAGTAGCAAAGGTTGACATGTGAAAAGGAAGATTCTCTCTCCCTCTCTCTCTTTTGCTCTCACTTGAGGAGGATGGATCTCAATGGGTTTCTTGGGGTTCGATGCCTAGGTAGAGGATGCGGAGAGGTGATTGTCATGGGAGGAATTGGCGTATGTTCAACAAAGGTGGAATGCCCCCTGGTGTGTGGGTAGTGATTTCAATGTGGTTAAATTTCCATTTGAGAGGTCTTTCCATTTGAGAGGTCTTCGAGGTGGGGGCCTCATTTTCTCTCTACTTTTGTCTAAGGAAATGGAAAAAAAAAAGGAGATGTAGAAGCTAAAGATGGGGTTTAAAAACATCCACAAATCACCTCTGTCTCGACCAAGTGACGGCCAAGTAGCAATGATTTTTGCTCCGTTCAAGATCACAACTTATCTTGGTCTCGCCCTCAACCAGTCAAGTTTTAAAACTTGGCTATTGCAGTTGTGCAGGCACTAATATGCCGGCCTGTAATAAATTAGCATAATAATAGTACACAATAATTTTAAATCACAATGTGAGTTAAAATTAAAGCACCAAAGTGAAAAAAAAATAAATAAATAAATAAATAAATAAATAAATAGTCATGAAAATCTACCATATGGCAAAGCCATGTAATCCGTAAGGGCACTAATTTAGCTTAATAGACAAGTCTAAGCAATATATAGACTACTTGAGCCCATATCTTCATTCCTTTGACACCCACCCTCGACATAAGAACAAAATATGCTTCAACTCCGCACAAAAATTAAACAGTGAATATTTTCAAATAGCATTTTAGATCTCAAGTCAAGCTGCCCATTTTTCTTACTATACTTCCCAACCTCCATTTCGTTTTGCTTGCTTTAACTTCCAAAAGAGTAAGATGAATTCCAAAAATTTCATGAATTTTTTTTTTTAGTTGAGTATAAAAATTGGAAGTAGAAAATAAATAATAAAATTGACAACCGCCTTCCTGGATAAGTGGGGAATGTTTTATTGATGATGGTTACTCACATTGGTATTTTTCAGACACTAAACAAATATCCTTTTCTTTTAAAATTGTTACAAACATGATGACAATTGCAACGTTAATTTTTTAGTCTAATAAATTAACCTGTCATCAATGCAGATGATACTAAAAAACAAGCATCACAAATCTAAAGTAAAGTACCTTGGGTAAAAGATTTCAACTCGTTGACCAAAATGATGACCCCAGTCGCAAAAGCAAACGGTCTTAGACATTAATAATGAGAAACAATTTTCAATCAAAACAACCATCATGATGCTTAAACAGCAACATGAATCAGCATCATTAAAAGGCGAAAAAAATAAGATCAGCAATTTTTCAGGGCAACATGGATCTCGATCAAGGTCATAAAAGGAAGAAGAAGAATACAAATATACACAACAACCAACAATCTGTAAATCAAAGAAACATACACACAGAAAAACAAAATCTTTAGTGCATACAGCTAAAATGAGCTCTGCAGCCATAACAAACACAAACAAACTTTGAAAGCAGAAACTTTAGTGATAGAGCAACAGAGTAAAACATACCCGCCACCAACTTGCTCCGCAGCAATACATCCAGCCAGAAAGTACAACCCGGTAAAAACTGTTGAGGTACAAAAGGGCAAGCAAACTTACGAAACCAGTTTTATAATGAATGAATTTGATAAATATGAGTCACAACAAAGACACAAGCTCTCAGGGAAACTTACCGCTACCAAGGGTTTTTATAACTACACTTTCACACATCTTGTTGGAACTCCGCAAGCAATCATTCCACAAAAAAACAAATTTTCAAACCAAGAAAAAAGTATCCATATATTAAAATTAGGGTTTTATTTCTTGAAAAACATGAATTAAAAAAAATATAATATAAAATTGTAAGAAGGAAAGGAAACACAAGCGTACAAACAAATCAAAAACCCTAGGCAGAGCAGTAGGCAGAGACTGGGTTTCCGTCCCTAAAGGTGCGTTTGGATAACTATGAGAGAAAAGAAAAGAAATGGTAGTATTAGTTAGGAGAGAAAAGAAAAGAAAAGTAATAAATTTTATTCATGTTTGGATAGATAGGAAAGAAAAGGAAAGAAATGATACTTATTATTATTTGGATAAGATAGATGAGAGAAAAGAAAAGAAAGGATAATGACCAAATTACTATCCTACCCTTTCATAATATCCCTAATTCTCCCAAACCATTTTATGTCGCCTTAAAGCAAGTATCCATTGTTCATTTTTCTTTTATTTCTTAGGGACACTTTTAATCAAAATATATCAAGAATTAATTAAAGTAATATCCCTAAAAATACTTTTATTTTTTGGTCAAAAAAAGTGGTTTCTTCAGAACAAGGCGCTGAAGATATCTAACAAAAAAAAAAAAAAAAATCCCACTGAACTGGTTTTTTTTCTGTATCTCCTATTAATTGTCCTTTTCCTAATTAGTATTCTCCTCAGATTTTGCAACAGTTTTTGATTTACAAGACGTCAATTTCTTATGTAGAATTATTTTGCTGCACTTTTAGCAGATTTTGCAACTGTGTATTCATTTAAATCTGGCGCATTTCGTTAGCATCTACTACATGTTCTATCACAATTACTGAAATTAGTATAGTACTGTAGTGCATTTATTTTAAAGAGATTCTAGAAATAGACTAAATTCTCTCAATTCTGAAAAAGCAAAGGGGAAAAAAGGAAAAACAAACATATAAGTAAACTGGAGGGAAAAAATTAGTCGATCAATTTCATCATGATTCCATGGAATAACTGGATGTGAGTTCCAGTTTCAATTATCCCCTCCATGGGTCTCTCTACATTTATACTCTCAATTGAGAAACCACACCTCTTTCATGCTTCGAGTATGTTGCATTTAACACATCAATTTTCTATATCTAGTTCTAGTTTAAGAGGTAAAGATGGGTACCCTGAAAACAAAAATTTTAAGCAAAGTTCTTAAACCATTGCTCTTTCAAATTCTTGTAAGCCCAATGTTGGGACTTGAATGGAATAATTTTTATACATATTGATTTGTGGAGGTTATTTTTGGTATTATTAAAATACCACTTATGCTCACTATCATTTCTCTCCCTATCTTCTCAAAATTGGAGAGAAAGTAAATGAGGGATAGGGAGGGATAGATCCCTCCCTATCTCTCCCTATCCTCTATTTTCTCTCCATTTAACCCACCCAAACACACTCACATCTTATCCTTTCTTTTCTTTTCTCTCCCTATCCCTCCAAATCAACCCATCCAAACACACCCTAAAAGTCCTAATCAAGAACAGAGGTGGGAACATTATCTGGGTTATGAGCTAAAATGAGCTCTGCAGGTGCTTCTCTCGCGCTTTTTTCGCAATTGTTTTTTTCTTTACTAGGTTTCAATTAAACAGCTTTTAATGGTGAACCTAATTCTCATGTTTGGCTACGGGCGTAATTCTCTCCTCCTTGTGGATAAGTGGATATTCGTATGCATTTGAGTAAATCCTCTGAAGTTATTTCCCATGCGGTCCCTGCGGTGCGCGATTTAAGGCATTGTTTGGTTTGGCGCAATAAAAAAAAAAAAGCCCAACTAATGGAAGAGTCAACTTAACGCTTGGCAACTAAAAAAAAAAAAAAAGGAAAATCTGAAAAAAGTCTTCTTTTTTTTTTTTAACAAAATCTGAAAAAAGTTTAAAACGGACAAATTGGTGCCTTTTTATCTGTAATGATCCGGTCACCTTCTTTCTTTTCCATTCCCTTAAATTTGACGGATAAATATATATATATATATATATATATATATATATATATATTTTTTTTTTTTTCCGTCATTTTTTCACTATCTTTTCATTTTGCGTAACCTATCGGGTCGTGCTCGGATTTGATTCCGACCTTGCATGCATTTATTTTACTTGATTTCCATGTGATACGTATTTTTACTTTTGTAGAAAAGTATGCTAAATGTTTACTTTTATCTGTAGGGGTATAAATTCTTGAAAATTATTTTCTTTACTTGGGGTGTTTTCGTGATAATCTTTTGATGAAATTTTGTATTCAATGTTATTTTAAATGTATCTTTTGAATGAAACTTCATTTTTGGCTTTATGATAAATTCACTTTTTGAGTTATTCAGTGGGGGTCATTTGTGTAATTTTAGAAAGTTTTAGAAAAAGTTTCTCGTTTTGGGTTCAAACCTTCCTGATGGGTTTATTTTCACTTTTTATTGACTCTGGCACTTCCGGAATTTTTTTTGGATTTTTAATTCATTTATTTTGAATTTTCGAACCCCGTTAGTCGTTAATCTTGTCAGGGGCATGTCTCCTTACTCGGGACTCGATTTTCAACTCCGTTTCTTCCGTTGATCTTAGAATTCCATTTCAAAACTTTTTCATTTATGGACCATCTGCATTTGAGCTCGTCTTCACAGATTCACTTTTTGGACCCGAATGATCCGTTCAGACTATTTAGGACACCTTTTTGACCTATTTAGGGTAGGTGGATGAGAGAGAGAGTCATTTCACTTTTACTTCCATGTAAAAGTAACAGCAGCCAGCCACCATTAGAGGACCTTAGAGCTACCCTCTCTCTCTCCTCTTTTCATCTACTTCCTCTTTGACTCGGCTTTTCGCGATTTAGACTTTTTTGATGTCCTCGATTTGCAGCACTTGAACTTTTGGGTTGGGAGTTCAAGCTTGGATTTGGGTCTTATCTCTTGAGGATTTCTTGCTCTCCTTATTGTCCCCGTCAAAACCCCGAATTTCGTCGCATTTTGTGGAGCTTGATTTTGGTGGGATTTGAGATTTTTATCTCAAGTGAGGTAAGGGGTGTTTCATATTTATAATCTTAGTGTTTTACATATTTTTGAGGTTTATATAACTTATATGCATGTTTAAAGTTTAGATCTAGAAATAAGTTTTATTTTTAATAAAATGATAATTTAATTTCATGGTTGTAACATGCTTAGTTTAGATTAAAAATGTGAAACTCAAAGAGCCCATGGCTTGTAGTTCATCATATATTATTTTTGAAATTTTTGGATAACTTTTGAAATCTAAACATTTTTAATTAATTAATTAAGTGTTTTGGTGGCTTAATTAGACTTTTGATTTGATAATTGAGTTATTCATGGTATTATTCTTATTATGTGTTAATTTCATGTCATTTAGTGATGTTTTGCAATCTAGATAAATTAATTAATTTTTGTTTAATTAGTTTCTATTTAATTGATTTATGATTTATTTGCATTTTTGATGTTTTCAAGACCTATTATGTTACATGCCATGATAGTTGAGGACTTAGGGCATGTTTTATGTGTTCCCACATCTTGGTTTTATGTGGTATTTGATTATGTGCATTTACTGTATGTGTATATACTTATGGTGCATAATTTGTTGATTTTGGAAGGCTTGTAGGGACGTAAGTTTATGTGATGGCAAGGGTTCGGCTCTAGTACGGGGACACGGTCTCTCTTAGTCACAAGTGCGCACTAGGTAGCTCCTTAAGGGTCGTAATTACCCATAACAGCTTGCTCGGTCTTGTGACCGCATGTCCTAGTCCTTCCACTTGTTTGATTTCGTATTTAAAAATCCAAGTTGTTTACTTTGTGAATTTATATATTGTTATTTGGCATTTGATGTTACAATGTTATTTAATTACTTATTTATTGTGGTTTATAATGTGGATGTTCTAATGTAGCTTATGATGATCCCTTAGTCTCATATTGGACATAGACGTTAGATGGCATAAACCACATGGATTGATTTATATCAACTTATAAAGACTTGTAAAACTTTAGGTTATACGCATGTTCATTTTATACAGGTAATCGGTTTACTCACCCTCGTTGTTGGGACATTTTTCAAGTAAGGAACCATGTTTTAGGGATGTACAACATCCTTGAACTTGCTTGTGGTTCGATGAGTTGGCGTACTCTTTTACATGCACTTACTAGCATGATTTTGCTTTATTTTGGTTTATTATGTCAAGACTTGTAATTTCTATTTAGAATATGTAATAAGTGTCTTAACACATCATTTGAGACCTATTTGACATATATGTGATGAGGTCAATGGCCAAAAACCTCATACTTTACTTTTATGCTACTTGGTTATATGTTTAAAATTGAGAAAATTGAAAAATGCGAAACTTTAGCATGTCCATTTCAATTTGGTCAGTGGAAATTATGTTTTATCACTTCCCCCAGTGCTCTTTTATTATATATGATGTGTGGCCAAGGGCCAAACAATTTTTTGAATGCATCTATGATTATTGACTTCACAAAGTGCTTAAAAAGAGTATTTTTCATGATTTTGGGGTTCAAGCATGTCATATTTTGCATTTGGAGTATTTTGAGGCCATTGGGACACATTTTATTATGTATATTACACTTGTTAGAATGTTCACATTGCATATATTATCATAGTTGCATGTTATGGTTGATGATAGGCTTCAAATTTCTCATTTTAATGCATTTTTAAGGTTTAATAGGTCAGATTTTGCATTGGGCATAATTTGGGGTCATGAACCATTCCCACACACTCCAAAACACTTATTACGCTTATGTATACAATTGTTTAGTCCACAACTTCATATTCGGTCATTTGAAATCTTGAAGCAAAGTTGCATTTTGACATTTTTCTTAAAAACTGAACTCAATGGTATTTTGGGCATTTCAGTTCAAAAATAAAATTTTCTTTCGACGTAGTCAACTTGGAAAAATTATTTTAAGGGAAATTTCTTTTTCGTGTTTTTCCAAAAAAGGTCATTTCGAGGTCCAAAACCCCATTTGAAGTCTG